GCCTATCAAGGAACAGAGTGTTCAGTAAGGCCTATCAAGGAACAGAGTGTTCAGCAAGGCCTATCAAAGTCTTTAGAATTTTGCAATTCCTATGGATGGGATCTATAATTAGGCAGACACCCTAAATCAGAAAATTCAGAAATACCTTTATAGTTAAATTTAAAATAGCCTCTAAATCCCGGGGGTTTTCTTATTATGTTGGAGATTTTATAAGACCAGAGGAGAAAATTTAGGGCTGAATGAGGTTCATGGGAAGTTCTAATCAATGACGGTATTTTCCTTATCCATAAAACAATTTTATCAACCAGTTCTGCTAACTGTATGTTTCCTTCACAACATTTTGTTGTCGTATGCATCCGATGGGGAAAGTTCAACTGTAGTAACAATTATAACTATTTGAGTTTATAGACCTCGTTTTCATCATCTGAAGTAATGCATCTCTCTGCATGCGCGGGGTTAGCAATCACCATAGTTGTTGTATCACCAAATGACAAGGTCTTCCGTGCCACGTGAGGCGAGGTACTGGCTGGGGAAGTTGGGGCCGAGGCGTGACACTCCTAAAATTAAAAAATCAATCACACGCGGTTTCAGAGGTTTTCTCGCTCGTCACGAACAGTCCGTGCTGCAGTTTCCTTTTTCTACCTCGCGGGAGAAGCGCGAGCTGAAAGGGAGTAACAGAAAGGCATGGGCGAAAGAAAGCAGAAGTTAAAGGTGAAGAACGGGAAGGAGGCTTTCTTTTGCCGTCTGCGCACCTTAAAACATCAACCGTTGCCAAAAAACGCAAGGTTTATAAGTAAAGAAATGAACCTCGTTTGTGAGCTTCAAAATTCAGGCTTCGACGGGGCTCGAACCCATGCCCCTAAGATACTAGGTGCGCGCTACTAGCAACCGAGCTAAAAAGTCGAATGTTACGAGTGAGACAAATTTTAGGAGGTTCTTCGGTCTCTAAAACCAATATATGATCTTAATGAAAAATAAAATAAACCTAACTTACATCTCTAAAGAGTGAACATTTAGGCGATAGAGACGGAAATGAGCAGCGCATATGCTGAACTGGCTTATCCGGTTCATTATAATTTCCATGTGACGTGTCTTCGTGAGAGGGTATGCGGCTTACACAAACCCGTGGGGTATTGACAGGATACGAGACTAACTCCTTGCAAGTGTCATAGTCCCCGTTGTTTCTTGAACTTGAGGCTCGTGATTTTACACTCCATGTGCTTCCAGTCTTTTCCTGGCAACGAAGAGATATATATGTGTATGTAGTTTTAAATCTACAGTGATAAAGGCAAAGCAACAACTTGAAAATCATCTAGACTGAGCAGTAGAGGAGCATCTAGAAGACGCAAACACAGGTTCTTACCGGCTGATTAGCAAATCCTTCGACCAGGATAGCCACCAGTAAGTTAAAGAGAATGTAGTTACCAATGGTCATCAGAAGAATAAAGTACAAAGCTGCCCACTTAGAGGTAGCTCTCATGCCGTCATACATGACTGTGTTCCAGTCCTCTTGCGTTAGAACCTGTTTAGCAGAAGTGCAAAGCAATGACACGTTATAAGAGTAAAATGGAGACTCTGTGACGCTATTCGTTATATGATGACGATGGCGCAAATGCATTAGAAGGACGCAAAAAGAGGTGTTCTGTTTCCTTTACGGCTATTGTGGACAAATTCTAATGCATTCGAGCAAATGTATTAAGTTGATTATCAGCCAACAAAAAAACACATGTTAGCATATCAAGCCAAATATAGGACATACTGCAGCAATTATGAATTATTACAGTAGCATACACATTTTTTCTCGGTATGCATAAGATTGCCTTCGTTTGACTAGGAGTATTTTTCTTATGGCGTTTAAAACAGACTCTTGTCAACATACACAAAAATAATTGAAAGCAAAATTGAACAAAAATCTCGAAACGAAGGAGGTGACTGCGAAAAACGTAGCATTCTATCTGTTTTTGGGTCAACAAAGCTTTTGGTCGTGAAATTACTGTTTTTTGGTTGTAAAATGACTTACCTGAAACACAGTCACCAGCGCCCAAAAAAGGTCATCAAAATTTGCGCGAGCTGCGCTTTTTTCCCCATCTTCATTCGGGAACATGTACTTGCCTCCGAAAAGATTCATACCCAGTATACTGGCCGTGAAAATGAAGAGAATTAATAGAGCCAGAAAAGTCATTACGTTGTCCATTGTATGGATCATCACGAGTAACTGACGCCTGAGGGCTGGTAGGAAACGGACCAGCTTGAATATGCGCAGCAGTCGGAAAGATCGCAGAACCGATATACTGCTGTTACCATCACCAAATAGCTCCACTATGCTGAAAAAAGGAACAAATGGATAGATCTTATTGAAGTTTGACGAAGAATTTGTCAATTTTTCAACTATATCATTAAAGACCTGACCGTCTGACAAAATTCCATTTTTTCCAAAATAAGCGTTGTTATTTCCCATTTAAAAAATTAAAATTTATTTCTTCGAATTTTTTTACTGCTCTGTAGTCCTCAGAAAACGACTGCAGTTCGAAGCAACAGTCCGCTAGCATTGTCTTCTTGGACATTTACTTGTTTTGACATCCAGTTTTGTGATAAACTACGATATTGTTCAAAGCAGATAGAAACAAAAGTTAAAAAATTTAACAAATTATACTACTAACCTCATGATAACGATAAACCCGTCAAATATGTTGAAAGGATCTTTGATGTAACCATAGGGACCCATGCCTATCAACTTTAGCACCATTTCAATACCAAATATGGCCGTGAAGATGTAATTCAAAATTTCAAGCACCTCTGTCATCTTTGAAGGCTAAAAAAAAAGAACTAAAATGACTTTACTGATTTTATAACACAAAGATGAAAAGTGCTTTTTAGGCGCGTTGATTGGCCAGTGCACGAGTGATTAGCCAATACTATTCACCTTCAAGGAGCCGGAGAGACAAAATCTTTGCCGCCATTTCTCCGTATATTGACAGATATTAAAAACAATTTAATTACCTGCCCATGGTACTCAATACCCATGCTGAGAGTATTCAAGAAGATAGCCGCCATAATGATATACATAAACCATTTGCTGTCCACGCTTCTTCGACACACTTGACGCAGTCGAGAGCATGCTGTGTCCTTTCCATCCTCTTCCTCATCAACCTCATCGTCAGTAAATTCGCTCTCACTACCACCATCTTCTTCATAAACACACTCAGATTCATAATCTACTTTGATATCCTCCTCCACGTGTTCTACCGCGCATGAGCAAACATTATGTATTACTGACGCTGCAGCTGCACTGGCTGTAGCAGTTGCGGCTGCGCTTGAGAGCGAGGCTGCTGACAAGAAAGTGTGGGTTGCCATGTCAGCCACAGCAGATTTTCCATTGATAGCTACCGCAGCAGTTGCTGTTGTGATCATTTCACCTCCATGTGTGGACGAAGACGGTTCTTTGCGAACAGAACAGGACGACCCAGTTATAATCGAAATGGTTGGTATCGTTCCTTTCCCGTTGTCATTTTCTCGTCCCGATGTCCCGTTACCAGGAACTTGTCCTGGCACCGTTAAAGTATTAGCAGATGGTTGAAAGTGTTTCGATTGAATCGGCTGAATATCTACTGTAGACGTGTTTGGTGTGACGTCGGCACTTCCGGGATGAACCGGAAACTGCGGCGCCACTTTACTACATGGACAGTCGGGATCAGTGCAGTGCACGTGATGATGATAATGGTGATGATGGTGGTGATGATGGTGATGATGATAGACAAGTTTTTTCTTTCTTCGTCTCCGTTTCCTGTGTTTTGAACCTTTTTTCCTTTTACCTCCAGTATCGCAATATTTCCAATTAAATCGCCTATAAAGTCTTCGTTTAAATCTTCTGATTAAATGCTCCACATATCTGAGTATTTCCACCCAACAGCCATCTTTTCCGTATCGGCTGCTAGCTATGGTACTAGTGCTAGTCCCCTCTCGCCGCCGACTCTCGCGTAATAGTTCATTTTCGCGTTGTTTAGTTTCTTGAAATTGCGTTGTTATGACGACTAGACATAAGTTAGTCATAAAATATGAAGCAATCTGAAAAATAAAAGAAAGCATCGCTGGCACGTTTTTCGAAGATACAGGAGTAAAGAAGTAAGTTTCTAAAGAAACTATGGTACCGCGTCGGTGGGAGAGTATAGTAGGGTAATTTAATATTATCAGCTGAGATGATAACGTAAATTGGCCGCCGTAAAGGAAGTTTAAAAGTTGACGTTGCGAGCGTTAGTCCTTCGTCAGAGCGATATATAGACGAGGGGCTAACACGCTCGAAACGTTAACTTTTGAACACTTTACTGTGGCCAATTTTCGTTATCAACTCAGTTGTAATTACTTAATTTCCAAGATGTAGCTGGCAATTTATTTATCAATCAATCGTCTTCTTCGGAGAAGCGTTTTTCGTAAGTTGCTAACGTAAATGAAAAGGGAAATAGTGAGTGGATGGAGAATTCCTCTCGTAACTTCCACTTAGCAGAATAATTATATCAAGAACTTACCACGATAAGAATTACAAAGTAAATCCAATTCCAAAATCCATGGGCGTCTTGCACATAATACATGATATCTGTCCAACCTTCCAGTGTAATTACCTGCAGTAAAACGGCAAGTTTGGAGAGGCTCTTCCTAACAATGATTTAACTACAATTACGCTACATTTTTTATTTCGAAATGCCCTTGGAGGACTGTAAATAATGTTTGAAGAAATATATGTAACAAAATCCCGATTTTTTTGACATTCGAGACTTGTTAGGCAAAGTAGAAAAAATTGACGAGGACGAGTCAGGAGAGAGACACGCCGGTTTTTGAGCAAAACATGGAACAAAGAGGACATGTTATGGCAAACCTTGTGGGGCGAAAAATACTCAAAAGAAGACTGTTGCTAATTAAGAAAGTTTTGTAGACCTGTGGATAGATTTACCCGGGTAATGATGTTTTTTTCGTAAATTTGCAAGAAATCTTACTAGTTTATATGAAACTTACTTCGTCATTGAATTTTGGCGAACATTTTATGAGTTGATGACTAAACTAAAGATTATTTTCAAATATAAAGGAACTAGACGCGCTACAAACCTGAAATATGGCCACCCAGGCAATAAAAATATTATCAAACCCAATGGCTCCCCATGAAGGGTTATCACCCTCCTTCCGGCAGACTGTGTAATATTGATTCCAGTTTATGCAGTTATTTGAATTATTTGATCTTCTCGATTGATTGATATATCCTTCATAGGTAAGTGTACATTCTCTGTTTTCATTCTTCAAGGCTGGGATAAACTCACTGATACATGTCTGCATTCCTGGTACCCCATTCACGGCACATACAAAATCAGGGTTGTCGAACGAAGGTATGTAGAAATCTGTTAAATTGTAACTGAAGAGGAAAAAAATATGTTTTGTCGTAATTACTATCTAAACATTTTAATGTCATAGTTGTGCTATATTTCATTTTGCCTTCACAAATCTTTTTCATACAGCACACAGCATATTGTTTCCGGAAACAAACATGCCAACAGTAGCTTTTTCCGATACCTCTTCGAACAATACTTGTAAACATGTGTATGTGAAGGTGTAAGCTATGACATGATGCGAGAATTGGGGACATAAGATTAAGTCCTGGGTGGAATAGAAACGCCCCTATAAACTTTTCTTTCTCTAAGGGAGCACCTGAAAGGAGGTACCGTTGCAGAATGGACTTATTGCCCTGTTTTGCGTCATTTGCCTCAGGCTGGATAAATCACGCTACCATGATGGCCTACCTTAATCGATATGTGTGAAGAGCTTCTATAGCCAAATGACTTTTCTTGCAAATGCTGCGCAACTTGTACAATGTGAGGTGAACTATTAAAAACACAAACCTATCTTCTGTGACGCCTTGTGGCAAATCAAGGAAGCATCTTCCTCTTAAGGCGCCTCTCCATAACTGAACAGCAACGATACCAAATATGGCAAATATAAAGAAACAAATGGCCAGGACATTCCATAGCATTGGTAAGGTGTCTAATAATAACGTCACAAGAATTCTGATACCTGTAAATGATCACAGAAATAATGGTTGAAAATAGCAATGTTACTTACAAAACCAAAACATACAAAAATTAGTTGTTTTTTTGTGTCATTTTGTTTCAATTCATAAAAGACGTCTCGCTTATCTAAATAACTTGAAAAAAATAAGAACGGCTGTCCCAAAAATCTTACACAACTCATATCAAAATTTACTTACTTGGTACTCTGTTGATGGCGCGGAGGGGTCTGAGAACACGAATGGCACGAACAGCACTCAGGTATTCTCCTTTGTTGTAAAGCAATTCGAACGTTCTTACAGAGAGAGAAAATTAATGGCGTGAGTTTACAGAAACTTTTTTTGTGGTTAAAGCGAGTCATACGATTTGCCATGTTTTGTCTGCGTGCTAGGAAAGGTTAAATGTTACGAGCTAACTGCTGGAGTTTATTCCGGTTTTCGTAACGTGAGTTGATTGGAAGTACTACCACTCCCATCTCTGGATGGAATGCTAATTTCCCGGAAAGTTTTGTGGAATCCATTTATACTCCTGGATGAACAGAGACACTTTTAGAGAAATGTGTGATGATCAAGAACCCGCCATAATAACCCATAATTTAAACAATAGAGAAGCAGTTTCTGGCACCCTAACCAGACCACTTTGTTTCTTCAGCTTGTATTTATTTTAGTATCGTTTTCAAAATCTTTGAAATCCCTTTCTGGAATGAAAATTAGAACGGCTTTACGAGCCAATTAACTTATTGGAACTTTCGAGAAACGGGCCCCCAGACGGGAACCGAGCTGGTGCCCTGCAATCTATATTCCACGCGTGACTCGATCACTGGGACAGTTATGCGCAGTAAAAATGCACATTTTAATATTAAGATATTAAAAGCGTCAAACTCAACTTCTTACCCTGCAGCTACAATAAAGCAATCTAGACGATTCCATGCATCGCCGAAATACGCCAGTTTCCCAAACAGTCCCATGGCCATCCACTTGCATAACATTTCCACCAAGAAGAATGTGTAAATAACTTTTTCCATGGCATCCAGTGTCTGACATCTTTGTGTTTGACATTCCGGATCAAAAGGATCGTACAATCCAAGTGTGACGCAGTTAACAAGAATCACTAAGATACTCAAACGCTCAAAATAATTGAAGAATGTTAAGGGAAACTAATAATTAAAAAAGAACTTTTACAAAGCTACCAAACGTTTTATGCTTGGACGTTATGTGAAGTTATTGTTAGTTTTTGTCAAGAAGAAGAACTCTAATGTAAATATCTAATATTTAAGATCACCCTGTTTTTAGAACATTTTTTCTTTTTATCACCGAAATGATAGTCGCTCGTGAATATTAATGGTAACGGCTATGTTTGTTTTTAATGTAAGCAGGTTTTAATATCCTGCTGTCAGTTTTCAACATTTTAACCAAACAAAATGTACTGAACAATCTATCGCAATTAAGAACAACTGAAATTCTTCCCAATGAAATTTTAATGCAGTCCTGCCTTGGGAAAAAGTAATGAAGCGTTTCCGTTCATTCTTGGTTTTGAAACATCGAGAAAAATAAAAAACACCGTCAGCAGTGTAAAGAAAGACAACCTGGATTCAGAGCTTGATTCACACTTTGAAGAAAAATGTACCCTAGAGCTACAAATACAGAAGATGGTAATTAAAAGCTTTTTTGACAATTTACCCTTCATGCGGCAGTACCAAAAACTCATTGACGCAAATTTGCGTTATTTCAAGTCAAACTGATGTCTTTCTGTGTAAAGAGGAACTAATTAAAAGAAAATCTTATTGATCGAACATGTCAATATTGAACACAAACAAAAGTTTACGAAGCCATATTGCAATTTTCATGTACAGCTGACTTTAGTTTCTAGAAGACTCGATGAGTTACGTAATACTTTCGAAACTCTCAGTTTCTTAAGTCTACACACAAAGCAATGTCTTGGGGTAATTACGGAAAATAAGCAAATTTAAGTAGTTGAGTAGTTGTCCTCGATGTGAGCTTTGTCCTCCATCGAATTTTCCGGAAAATAAATTTTTGTCATCATGACCATCTTGCAGATTTTGAACGTCGCAAAGTTTAATGGATTGCATTTTAGATAGAATTATATATCAACGTTTGAAAAAACGTCTAGCCATCGCCGGATAAACATCCCTATGTCAGAGGGTACAAACCTTGAGGGTCCTATTGACCAAAGGATATTTATCATACAATTAGTTGCAGTACATCAATGTGGTAGCTATAGTTTGTTAGTACGAGAACCAACCTTGATTTAGTGAAAATGAAGTTTTCACAGAATATGGTCATCTGGGGCACCCGCGATGAGAAGCGAAGGATTATACGTAGTTCCAAGAACCTCAGTGACCAAAAGCTTAGTTCATTTCATCAACAACAAAGTGCTTCTATTTCTGTCGCCTTCCACAAACCAATTTTTAAGAATAATAATGGTTCTTTCGGGAAAGCCGTTAAATGTTTCTTTATCTCAATAAAAAAAAGCTTTCCTCTGAGCTTTGGCATTTGAACAATGTCGCCTCAGAATCAGCGCAAAAAGAAACTTCTACAATGGTTCCCATGGAAACGTGTGAAAAATCGCACTTATGAACTTTTCTTCCAGTTTTCTTAACAATACATTTTACAAAGAGAACATTTCCTCTTGATTCTTCATAGTATCGAAGTTTTGAGAGTTCATAGAAAATATAGAATTCTCGATGCAAAATGGTCTGAAAATTTTTTTTTTTACTAAAATTAATTCATGGTCAACGTATCACAGGTGAAACATGATGCATTAAACATCCCTTTTAGGATTATTCAATTGAAGTTTTCAAATTTTATTCAAATTTCTAAAAGAAAGTTAACATGCACAAACCATTTCTCTGAATAATAATATATCTTCACCGGAAATTAAGAACGATCCGAGTATTGCAATCGAAAAAGGAAAAAAAATTGTGTCTTGTTAAAGTAACATTTTTCAGCTTCTGGTAACACTGATAGAAAAGAACGAGTGATTTGAAATGTGTACACAGTACACATTGTGCAACATTCGAAAGATCAGTAGGCCACGTTAAACAGTATTAGGTATGAAAATAAAATATACAATTGTTTTGAAAACATATCAAAGAGATATTTCAAAGATCATGTACATTTTTCTTCAACAAAAATTGTCTGCGCACAAAAAGGGCAAATAATGCAGTTTTTCCCGGAACGTCAGTATTAATGTAATTTTCACAGTTTTATCATTTTTTGGGATATTTCAGAAAGAAGAGGGACCTGATTGCGACTCCGTCTCAAAACCGCAGTTGAGTGGATAAAGTGAATTAATTACTGATCCGTGGATAAGATTAGTGAAAAAATACTTTCACCGCTTTTAGGAGCATTAAAATTTCAATAGATGATATCGAAAAGCATTTATATAGTTATATACCATTTAGAAACTGCTTGGCCGAGAAAGTGACTTTAGCTGGAAGCCTGACAAGGAAAATTCGCATAATCATCATGTATAATGTTGTCAGATGCTTTATGGCAAAATCAAGAAAAACTCTTGTAAAGATAAATGCTTAAACCGATGACTGCGTTCTGTAGAAAGTAGGAAGTTGATCGGTTTTTCAGAGCGAACACTTCGATGTAGACATAGCTAAAAATGAAAAATTTAAATTTTAAATTCGTGTCATGCAAAATTTAAATTTATGACTCAAAACGTTTCGTGAACAACAACGTATATCAATGATAAAAAATAACCAGATAAGGGAACCCGATCAAAGATTTTTCCCTTCTAAGGATAAAAAAAAAAACATCAAATAAAGGTCGTACCACATAGCCTCCGAAAGATACTCGTCAATCCAAGAGTTATGACCTGCTAGAAATCTCATGAAAAGCGAATCCTGTAAATATCAAGATCATTACTTTAAAAGCTTAAAAGGATATGGCCATGTAACGAGGCGAATGAACCATCGCCTTGGACGTCTTTCGCGGTGAAAGAAAAAGAAGGCGGTTGGCATAAATTCTTGGAACACATCGTATCTTTCATCGACGTTTTCGATCTCAGTTTCATATCGAGGCTCACTCTCTCTAGTCAGTTTGCACTCCTCTACCAAGCTTGGATTGCTCCGTATTTTTTCGGCTTCATCCTCGTGAGAACGCTCGGTGTTTTGTTTTTCTTCGCGTTGCATACCTTATCTTACTTGTTTCCCTCAGCTGCGGATAATCCTTACAGTTGAGAAGATGTTAACTGTCAAAGGCAGGCAATTAACAACCTTGAAGACGAAGGGCTTCGGCCACGAAGTCGGTTGCATATATTTGGATTTCCAGTTGAATATTTCCTGTCAATTTGGCTAGCTACCCACGGAAAGCTTTGATATCTAGCCATACCCACTCAAGGTACATGAAATAAGACATTTAACTAGATGAAGGGTCAGTAGATGAAAGCGATATGTTTACCATCTCGTACTTACAAACGAGGGAAGGTCGCTTGATTTCACAGCCGTAATATTCCTATTTCTTCGTTTCGAAAGTAGCAGTCTAGCAGATAGCGTTAATTCCTTGAAATTTCAACTCTAGATTCGAATTGTCTTCTCTCTGCCCGTATTTATTTCATTCGGCAGCCACAGGCAACAATTTCTGGCCAAATTTACCGGTGACACAAGCAGCAAATTTCAGACAAAACACAACTTACAACCAAGTGTCGTTGGTTAAAATTAGTTATGCTTGCTTCGATTGGTCCCTAAAAACAAACGAAAAAATAAAATTTATATTAGCATGAGACTCGGCGCTACGCCTTTCATTAGGTACATAAAGAAATATGCCTGAATTTACCTGAATTGCCGTCTAAAGATGGTATTAAAGACCGTCATAGCTGGCGGGCAAAAAGAACCGAATTGTGGTTACCGAAGAAAACATATTTGCTTACCGTATTTAAAAGCGACAGCAAAGCGCCTTAATTTGACTGCGGTTAATACGAATGGTGCAACTTTTGATGTCTTAGATCAGTTAAATTTATTTACAACATACCCGGCGAGAAAGATCAAAATGCAAATTACAGGCGCTTTAAAGTAAACCTTAGTTCGGTTTATTTTACCCACCTAACACGTGTAATGCGAAATTATAGATCCAGACCTCACTCAGTACTTAGAGGCCGAACATTGGTCAACTGTGGTGTCGATAGACGATAGAAAATAAAAGAAAATTTCAAATCGTAAATCACGGCAGTTCAAGCACAGCAGTAATGGGGAAAAAATAAAAAAACAGGAAAGAATATTCTGTAAGACTAAAAAAGAATATGTACGTAAGTCTGTATTATAATTCAATTGCTTTGTGCTTGTCAAGCACCTGCTACTCACGTGACTGAATCAAGTTTGTGATTGGTCGGGTACATTATTCCTTAATGATATTGATACGAATCAGTTGTAATTTATGTAGCTCCGTGAGTCGACCGTCAAAAAGGAAACAGCTTCAATCTCTATTTGTAACATGCTGCGCTATTCTCTGAGCCTTTCTGCAGAGATGAGGTCAAAAAAGCTATCAAGTAGCGCTCGCAGCGGGCTCCTCAATGCGAACTTTCTCTAAAGCAGGCGCAATTTGACGAGTATTAAGCAGATGATATGGACTGTAAAACGATGCAAAACGAAGTCACCGTGAAACTTTAACAGCAGGACAGAAATCAGTCCTCCGTTGAATTTCGAACAAATGTTATTATTGTAATTCGGACGACAGCAACATCAAAACACTTTTTTTTCCCTCAAATATGCAAAGAAATAGTGACGCCAGTTAAGAAAGGTGACCGTAACTATCAAGCAATTTTCATCAGAAATTTCAGCTCAGCTCAGTTATAACAAAAGTAAAAGTTAAAGTAAACACTATCTTAAAAACGACAGGACATAAAAACTTGGAAAAGTTACCCATTCCCGAAATATTTTCGAAAAATTTCTCTACCCTCTTCAGTTGTATTTTTATGACTTTTTATTTTTCATTGCTAAGAGGTACTCCGAAAAATAATTGTCGTTCATGAAATTTAATTGATGAAAATACGAAGACATACTTAATACATATGTCTATTCATTATTTGTTTCATTCGTTTTATGATATTTCTGTCGATTTTTATGCAAAGTTGAAAATTGATCTGGCGTTATGTAACTTCTCTGAAACAACATATTTGCCTTTCATTAATAAAAGATCTCACTTTGTGAAGCCTGTTAATTTTTAGGTTTTAACAAGAACGTCCTACGTCCAGCTAAATAATGGATTATCGAGGAGAATGATCTTTTTCTTTAACAAAAATAGTAAACAAACCCAATTAACCGATTCAGCATTATCAGAGTTTTTCTTCTCTTTTTTCCAATTTTTCTGTCTTGTTGATGATCTGTGTTAACACCCCGTTGAAAATATAGCAAATTTTAGTTTTTTTGATACTATTGTCATCTGTAATGAAATGAAAATTTGACCCCCCACGTAAAGTCGAGATACACAAAATTGAAATATGCCCAGGCGGTCTGCAAACATGAGTAGAGTAGCTGAAATTTTTAGGTACGATATTTACAATATGACGCGCCACTAACTCCACATGAACTTCAACATTGTCGGTCAAAAGTGAGTGCTAAATAAAGTAAAAAGTCTCTTTTTACAAAAAAAAAACAAAATAAAACAAAAAAACGCGTATTCCGTAGTGGGAGAAATATTTATTAGAAAAGTGCTTGTGATCCAGACTTCATTGTCTACCTTGGGAAAAAGAAAGTAACAGATTTTGTAGTTTTCTGATAGTGCAAGTGTGAACTTACGCCAGCATTAATACATCAGTAAAGAACCGCTAATTATAAAATGCAATGTGATTGGCTGATCAGCCTGTCCGACCAAAAAGTAGAGCCTCGAGAAAAGACTTAAAGACTCGTGGTGAGAGAGAGAATTAACGAGCAAAACTACGGCTGTGAAATGTGTGCTGTGTCATAATTTGCTATGCCCTTATTTCTTAGTTGTACCCGCTGCAGAAAAAAAAAAGAATCGTTGAGTTATCATCAAGTTAACTGCTTCTATGACTAAGACAACCACGACCCCAGATTAATCCTTTTATATTTCCATTCAGTGCTGAAAATACTCTCATTTGTAAATTTCGGATGAAAGCTGGCGTCAGTTATCGCAAATAAAGTTTGACACTTTATTCCTCCAACAGACCAGGTTGAAAATTATTAAAGCTTTTTTTAAAAGCCTCTGCTGAATAAGTATCTCCGGAGTATGGATGCTTTCAGTAAACAAAGATATTACTGGAAAAGCTGTACGACAACGGACTATTGAACTTTTTCTTTTAGAAAACCGAGATCGAAATGCCCAAACCACAGTTGATGAATGCCAAAGGTGCACATAGCTTTGTAGTTCGTCTCACTGTGACATCGCCAGAAGAACATTGGTAGAGTGCAGTCGATACTATGATCACATCGAAAATTATTACGTAATGGGACATCTAATAACACTTTTCTATCGTTGTTATTTCAGAACAACTTTGACAATAGTAAGGCTCCCTTATAGGACGTAAAAGCGCTCTCGCACCCCGTCGGTTTCTCATAATCTAGTAAACCGCGCATGTCAGGGAACAAAATGATATGAAAAATGACAGAGCCAGACGATATAAATATACAGTCGACCCTCTACCAAGTTACAAAAATCAGCACGAAAACAAAGTTTCAAAGCCTCAAAGATTAGGGTTTTTACGGTGCCATACATTTAATTGGATCAGTCGTCGTCTGAATAAACGGCTCTTCACAAGTCTGAAGGTGACCTGCGATAAATTAACTTTCTAAAAAAATAGGATAATACGTCAAGTTTTGTAGACGTGTGAATTGTTATATACTCTATTCAGTCTTGATATTAATTTGTATTGGAAGTCCTTGCTCAAACTGAGTTTCTTGCACTTTATTTCAAAAGATGTAGGAAATAACATTTTGGAAGTAATATACAAATGAGCGCGACTTTGTTGGAATTATTCAAGAAAGTATTGACTAGGAAAGTTTTCAATTCCCCAAAGACTTGTAATCTAAAAGCCGCCTACAAATTAAATGGAACTACTCTTGAACCAGGTGTCGATTTACGGTTTCACATATTGTTTTGGTCAGGTATCTTCGAAAGTAATCATTACTCGGAAAATTACATCAGGATTGCTCTATACGGTACTCGAAGAAGCTTCCAAGAAGATTACGAAAAAAATAATTCTCATCCAAAAATCATACCAGACTTTTTAACAGCAACTTGAACAATACGCTGCCAAAAAATTGACCATCTTCTGGGATTTACTGCATAATTTACCAGACATAACCGAGAGAAATGAATCATGAATAACGAACTTCAATTTGTGCCAAGTTCAAGAGAATAACAACGCTAAAGATGAAAAAAAAAATAACTCTGTTTAGCTAAAGATATTAAAATGAGGATCAAATAAGTATGTCAGTTGTCAACAAAAGACTTCCGAAGATTGATGTTCAAGACTGAACAATTTTCTAAGTGACATTTCAGTCTGTAATGAAGGGGTTTTTTTTAGACAAAATAACCCCGCTGTCTTTATTTCTATGATTTTGTGAAACTAAAACTGGCAAATCGCGGCAGTAACTGAACCTTGGAAACCGAAGTATTTCCACATGGTTAGATCACCTTCTTTAGGCCGGGAACATCCTGATTTGTACAGTTCAGATGAAATTCAGTATATGACTTCAAGCTGTTGCTGGGTAACCTTCGCTTCTTTCCAGTCAGTTTTATTAGGCACAAAACATATCGGTCTAATATCTATGATGTTTCTTGACTGTTGAGTTTGTTTTACGCGAAACACATGCTTTTAGTATAATTTTCGTTCATATGTTTAACTCTTCCTCGAACGGCGAGGTACACTTTTTTTGTGAATGTCCACGGTCTTCAAGCAGGCACAAATATATAAGTTCGTCAGACAAGCTTAATTCAGTCATCGAAATCTCTTACATTCTCAAAGTAACCGGGTAACCGCCACATGAAATAACAAAACAAAACATCACAATAAATACAAGCATACCTTTTTTTCAATAACCCTGCGATCAGCACGTAATCATATCAAGCACTCAAGAGGAAAGATGAGGTGGTAACATGAAAGAACTCCAACTTCCACAGATTTTAAGAATCGTTTTTAACACACTTCACATGCCACGACGATCTGGTTTTATTTCTGTAACTGGTTATACCTTGCCTCATTTGCAATTTCAATTAACTAAATTGACATGAAGTAATCCCGAGCTGTTTTGACTGGGAGCAATTTTACAGCATCTAAATCCCTGAGACATAATGAAACCATTGTAGACGCGTCAAGAGGCCAACACGGAGCAATTCCCAGATGCTTTTGTTTAGCTTAGATGACGTACGCAAATCATGCAAATGAGCAGCTAATAGGGTACTTTGGCTGTTAAGCTGAAGAAAGAAAAGAGCATTGGAGACTTGATAATAGACACCGCGCATTGTTTATTCCTGCGAATAATTATTGTTTTCTAAATTGTTAGTACCAGTTAGAATAGGAACCTGGATTTTTATTGATTCAAAACAGACCTTTGATCTAAATAGCTTGGCCTAAGCACTATGGCTGTGTTTTTAAATCTCTACAATTGTAATGCCCATCAACTTTCCGAATTACAAAATAAGAAATTTTTCTGGTGACCTCAGTTGGTGCAAAAGCTCTCTATCTTTCACGACAAAAAACTCTGTTAGTTAATACTTTTTGTTTGAGTCAGTAACTTTTTTCTGTACACGACGACCTCTATATGATTTGACAAGCATCATACACATATGCCTCTATGGAGGTATATAGAAATAAGGCATGTTCGTTCATATCATTCGCAAACAAAACCCTTTTTATGATGATCATGAAAAAGGCAATTTCATTCAGCAGCAAATGCTTAAATCTAAGTTAAAATGTCCGCTTTGGTTATGTGTACAAAACATCAGGTTATTTTAGATCACAGTAAGCTTGCTTAAGACGGATAATAAAATAAAATCCCTCTTTTGATTATAAACGATTATTTTTGTAAACACTATTGTATCAAGGAGCTAAGCGGTACCTCAGAACAAAGATCATTCTTTAGATAAATCGGTCGAAAACAAAGTTAAAATGGCTATTCGGGCGCGAAGTAAAAATTTGGTTTTTCATCAGTGTCTGTGGGTGCACGTTGAGGACTCCTTGTGGTTTTGAGATGAATGAAACGGGTAAAGCTTAAGCGATTGAGAAAGATCCTTTCATCACCCAGCATCTGACCTGCAAACAAACAACTCACATGATTTTACACGTTTTCTAATTAAAGTGCTCGAAAAATGCCGGAAAAACTCTGCATACATCATATCAACCTTCTTTTAAAATCGTCAGGTGTTTTTCTCGAGTTCAAGAAAAACTATAACGCAAATCACACATGCAGTACAAAATATCTTTCTCGTATATAATTAGCTTGACTAATCAGCATTAAGTATGCCGGTCTGCTTTTCAATCAATATTAAAGCAAAACCAGTCAAATTAATCTGCATTTGGTGTCAGATCAATAAATACATGTACTCTTAACACGCCGCCATCTTATCATAACAAATAAATTATCTTCTAGGCAGCTTAGCATGTACATATGTACGTAATTCAACAAAAAGGGCTCTTAAAGAGAGAGCGATCAGTGCTTTCATAATCGTAACAATGACAGAGGTCGGCTTACGAAGGCTAAGTTGTGTATCCAAAGAATCAATTCGCTGTCAAAACCATGAACTGTCTGATCAAATGAGTCAGTGCAAGCACGTTTGTCATTCTAATAGAACTTTAATTAAAAAGTAGCGGAAACTCTTAAACATAGGCGTAACTCATGAGTCGGTCAATTCCGATATCCATTGCGCCTTAACCCTGATGTAAACAATAATACACAACCGTGCAACGCTTATATCAGCATTTTAATCGTAGATAGCCATAAAAGCATAATTATTTTCGCAATTTAAAAATCAAAGGGGTGAGCAAAATCAGTCTTCGGTGCTTACAGAAACACGAAAAGGCCCCATTCAATGATAACAGGTTGATATCGAATACGTTGAAATCAACTTCAGATTAATGATATTTCCCCCCTCCCTCCCCTCCCTTCCCGCCC